AGCGCAGCATGAGATAATTGTTTTACGTCTGCCCCCATACCACTGTGAGCTTAATCCCATTGAGTTGGTATGGGCGCAGGCTAAAGGATATGTTGCAAAAAATAATAAAACCTTCAAAATGACAGAAGTAAAAAAACTTTTTGAAGAAGGACTTAAACTAATCACACCTGATAAATGGCGTAGCTGCGTGTCTCACATAATGAAAGAAGAAGATAAAATGTATGGTCTCGACGACATGATCGACAATGTTTCAGACAGATTTATTATTAATGTCACCGAAAGCGATAGTGATGATTTTTTATCTGATGATGAATAAAAACAAATTATGTAATAAGCGATGTTTATTATTTTCATTACCAACCTATAATTGTTATATTATTAAACATCTATAGTATAAACTACATGATATATTGAGAATAGGACAGTCTTACAAGTTTCCTCGCAATGATTTCCTTAATGTTAAAAACAATTGGTATTTAGTACTAAGCTCGTTGGTATGTTCAAAGCACGACTAAAATTCGAACCCGTATCCGATATCGGCAGTACGCAACGTTAACTATTCACTAGGCAATCGAGGCAATTTTATTAATTCAGGAGTTTTTTCAATCATTCACAAATCATGTGACAAACACAACACTATTTTTATTTCATTAAAAACTGACAACACCGTAAACGTCAGTTGATATCGTCTAATTAAAAATTCGACTATAGTAATGAAGCAAAATAGGTTTGTATGAGCTGCTGTCTATATATACTCTTGTTCTTGTATTTTATTTTTATTTAATTATAAGTTAATATTATAGGCAATAAAACACATAATGAATTAGTAATATACTTAATTATATACTGCTGCGGTTCTGTAGCTAGTAAAGAAGCAAAATAGGTTTGTATGAGCTGCTGTCTATATATACTCTTGTTCATTGTATTTTATTTTTATTTAATTATAAGTTAATATTATAGGCAATAAAACACATAATGAATTAAAAATGCTGGTGTCAAAAAAATAGGTTTGTATGAGCTGCTGTCTATATATACTCTTGTTCATTGGCAGTTTAAGATCATTCCCAATTTCAGTAACAATCCAGAGCACTGTTCCCTTCGATAGGAGGTAACAGTGACAAAAATCTACATCATCCCAGGTTTCTAATGGCGGATGGCGTTGCCTAAATATTTTTGGTCACTCATTAACACATTCTCATATAATATTATCGTCTCCTTCATCGTCTCATTAATTAAAGTATCTCAATATGTTTAAATTCATCATTAGATAGTAATAAACGTATTTATCATAGTTTGATTTCTGTGACAAACAGCTGTTACTATATAAATTACCAGCGGCCATCTTGTTAATCCTCCGAACTTTTTTGACTAATGGTTAGATATTTTACCATTAGATGCTCTTACCACGGATCAAAAAACGCATTTTGCTGATATTTAACTAATAGTAAGGATTTTTAACCAATAGTTGAGTTAACTACGGATCAAAAAACCGGCCCGTGCTTAACAAACAGCGTATAATTCAAAAGTCCATCTGTATTCCGTCAATTAATGTTTCATTAGCAAGGCCTAAATAATAGGCTATTAGACAGTATGAAAAATAAATTGTTATTGATAGTAATCTTTATAAAACATGGCTTTAGAAAGCGTTGTGGAGTATTTTTAATTTATCAAAAAATTTAAACGCCGGTCACGTGAGACAAAGCTGTCACAGATTAGTAGAATCGTCGATGACATAGTTTTCCTGTAAATATAGTTTAGTCTGTCTAATCCGAGTGCAATATAATAATGCTTTCAGGATGTTGTTGGGGCTCCCGCGGTACTGTAGCGCATCAGGTATGTTTGCAGATGCACACGTGGATGATTTTTCGTCAATCATCCGCAAACGGACAGCCTCACTGATGCGTGGGGTTCGTGCGAGTTCTAACAATATCCTGATGGTTATAGGTAAACCCGAATGTGCTGTTTTGAGACATTGGGTTCATATACATGCCTGTGTACCCGGTGCCTCGAATCAACGTAGATATATGAATTAAATGTTTTCTTCTTTGTGTCTTTAATAATTTTGCTAAATTTAATTTTAATTTTACTAACATAGTTATAAGGATTACTTTACTAACAATATATGGATTTTTTAATGGTCTGAATTAAATGATTTTTATTTATTTATTTATTTTAATCCTAATACTATCTTGGAGTTCAATTTCTTCGGAGACTATTTTTGAACTAATCATGTGTATATGTGTAATTTAAAATTAATTATTAACACCTAAAAACATGTCGTTTCTTTACGTGCTTAAAGACATGGAAAGCCATAGGGTGAAGCGATCTTGCCTAGACAAGCGTTTTGCCAGATTTTATTTAAAGTAAAAAAGAAATCAAATTGTATAGGTTCTATGATCACTTATAAGTATATCTAATATATAAAATTCTCGTGTCACGGTGTTTGTAATTAAATTCTCGAAATGGCGATTTTCGTGAAATTTTGTGTGCATATCGTTTAGGTCTGCGAATCGGACAACATCTATTTTTCATCCCCCTAAATGTCAAGGGTGGTCCACCCCTAAATTTTATTTTATATTTTTTAGAAATTTTTTTTATGATACAGCATACAAAATTACATACAATCCTTAATTTTTCACCCCTCTACGATCAACCCCTATTTTTATTAATGAACTAAAAAATTTCCCTAGAAATAATACACATGGAAAAACAAGGTTTGCCGGGTCAGCTAGTATATATATATATATATTATCTAGTCACTCACCACACACCTCTCAATCACCAATGGACAAATAAATATCTGATCCCTGAGTCGAGGACTATGCCGTGAACGTTTGTAGCTTGAACCTTGGTCAAGCGTTGTAGCTGGAACCTTGGCGTGACCCATGATTTGTCTAAAAATACTTACTCTTTTGGCATTTTATCCTTCTCAGTAAGTATTGTGAGTGCTGAGAACAAGAGAGCTACAACTGTCGCACCATATCCGGGATTCACACCGGACACCTGAAAGTATTGCAAAACGTGTGGTAAAAACGACTGTGCGTTACGTTCGACTGTGATTCGTCAATAGCATCTCTCTAGTCACGTGATACGTCATTTAACCTGCGTTTGACCAATCACAATCGAACGCAACGTTAAGCGCACATATGAGTACGCAAACGGTAAGGACGGATCATTAGAACCATATTTTATTTTCTTTTATCCATTATTAATTAATGAAATATACAAAGTTGGGCAGACGTTTTTTTTATTTTTTTAAAACGTTTTCCAGATAATTCCCCGACTATGTAGTCGTCGGAGGTGATATTAGTAACCCGAATGTTTACTTTCTATTACTATATTACTATTTCTACTGCTACCTATTTCTTTTGACGACAACCCCCACAGACCCATGAACCTCACAGCAAATCCCAAAAAGATGCCCCTCAACCTAACATTGAGCATTATTCCCTTCAAACTCGTCTCCGTTACCCTCATGCCCATAGCTTGCTCAGTGTTATACCTGTCGGTCAGAACATGCAACACTGTCTCTTCAGCTGCATCGCCACAAGGACCGGCAGCACTTTGTCTAACCAGACTAGACACTTTGGCAGACGTTTGGCCACAATCCCACCTGATATTAAGTAAGATGCGGCCAATTGAAAAGCCAGTCAAGGTGATTCCTACACAGCCGCCAACGATTAAATGTATCTTTAGGAAAGATTGAATGGGGCATGGAGTTCCTTTGCTGTTTTTAGAAGAAAAGACTATCCAAATCGTATAGGCCGAAATCGGTCATTTTACTAGTCCGGTATAAGTTACTGATATTTTCAACATTGACTGTGTCACCCCGTGACACTATTTCTAGTTCAACCTTCGGATGTATCCAATAGTATTGGTGATATCAGGATACATGAAAGTGTATGGCTAATTCATTTTAATATATACGCAAAAGAACCGTCTCAAAATATGAGAGCAGTTGAAAAATCCACGAAATACTTGTGTAAAATGATAAAAAATTAATTAAAAACAAAACAATGCTGGACAGGAAGATAAAGACAATTCACACCAATTGACCTAGTCCCATGCTAAGCTGGTGAAGCTTGTGTTATGGCTACTAGGCAACGGATATACATACATATTATAGATAGACATATAAATACATATTTAAACACCCAAGACCTAAGCACAACACCAAATGCTCATCACATCGATGTTGGTCTCAGCCGGGGATCGAACCCGGGACCCATGGATTCGCAGTCAGGGGTACTAACCACTAGACCAATGAGTCGTCTTTATACTACATTTTACAAATATACAATTAATTCGAATTTTTCGAATCTTCTTTATTGACTTCATATCGACTTGCAAAAATATAATAATAAAATAAAGGAATCTTTAAAAATATAACTGCTATAAGTATGAGTAAACATGATTATAAAAAGTCTACCTTAACTGCAAGTTTCTTATTGGGCGGTGAGGTGACATCAGACCCCTGACTCCATCCTTCACCCAGCAGCAGAAACGAGAAGATGGTGCTGTTCATCACCTCCTCACTGGGACCCTCGCGGGTGATCGCACCCATTGTAAAAAAACGTGGGTGTTTAAGCAGAAGGTCTCGCGTGAAACTTAATCTAAAAATAATGAAAAATTTCAGGAGTACATATATATATACAAAATTACAACAATAAACGCGAATTCATTCATAATAATTATTTCTTTAAAGCATTCATGACCCGTAATCTTTGAAAAATCACATATCCAAACCTTCCCCATGAATCATTCTAGATATTGGTGAAAACACAATAAATTCCGTAGGTAGTTTTTTAGTTTTTAAGTTAAAAATGCAGATGGTCGCAGCCAAGAACTTGTCTTTGTATAATATAAACGTTAGTTGACATATTATGCTATCGCTGACTCTTTCTTAGAAAATATAGGGCTGAGGAGAAATTTCAAATAAATGTAAAAATTTCTAGTAGTAGTGGAAGCGACTTCGACATTGGTGGCTCCAAACACGGTGTTGGTGCCACCGAAAGCCACCGATCTTTTTGGTAATAAATTTAAAAGAGTGTTCGTAAATATGCCAATTTAATTGAATTGTTAAAAATTTCGGTTTCCTATCAAGTGGTAAGTGTAGTGACCGGGATCTCCTCCACAGGGGCTAGCACAGGTTCAAGCTGTATCACATTTTTTTTATTTAAATTTTTACAAAATAGCATTCGTTATTTATTCACAGATTATATATAAGCGGTCCAAATAGATACTCATTCATAATAAAAACACTTCAAACTGTATAAAAGTTCAAACTTTGTGTGCCAACACCCGCCCTTCACAAAATAAAAAAAAACATTTAGCCGTCCGCACCAACACACATAAATTGTAATACATACCTGGTTAATAAAAACAGCATCACAGAAGAGAATGCAACGGCCAGCGTAGTTAAAAGACTGGTAAATTTCACGTATGTTTTAATTTGTACGGGCCGTTTTCCGTCCCGTTCCAATAAAGTACGCTGCGTCCTGTATACTATGGATGCGTCAGATCCCGGAAAGGGAAGGCACCATCCAGATAGGCGCTGGTGGATGACTGATCTGTTACAAAAGTTTTTATTTAATTCTATTAAGAATTTAGTAGATCATAGTGTTAAATAAATTAAAAAAAACATTTTAAAATGCCACTAAAAAATATAGCTTAGGTTTGCGTAGCCGACCTTTTAAAAATTTAAGACAGACATTTTTACCATGCCCCCGTTACATGACTATATTTGCAACTGGGGTTGGAAGTGAAAAAAAAAATTTGACGTTTATTACTTCATGGGCTATAAATGAAACTAAACTAAATAAAAAAAGGGTGCGTGTACTTATGTACGCGCGTAAGAAGTTATACTTCTTTGGCATTATTAAAAATAGTTTTTGATTGCATGCAAATAATTAACTACAATTAAATAATCAAAGACTGGAAAAGGAGTCATTATAGTCAATAAAGTTCAGTTTACATAAATAAATAAATATTTATTATTATTCTCTTACATTAAGTGTAACATAAATTCTATTATTATTCGAATGTTGTTTTTAAATTATGTCCAATGCCGTCGTAGCATCTACCGTGGGCAACTTCATTCTGTTAATTTTGTGTCACGGTGCGCGCGGATCGTAAAATTTCACTCTCATCAATTTTTCATAACGCGCCTAAAGAAGTATAACTTCAAAAATATGGCAACATACCTAGACTTGAGCTTCGGTTTAAACTCTGGCAACTTTTCAGGATAGATCTTCTTTCTCAGACTCGGCAATTCGTTTAAATGTGTTATTCTGAAATTCAATAAAATTATATTATTGTTTGTTCAGGACTTTTTATGGCATTCTAGAATCAAAAAGATTCAGTACATCTCCTGAAAATATATATCTATTTGTATGAATTATATTTTGTTCCCTAAAAGGGAGAGCTCTACTCTTGAGGTGCCACATAGTGATGGTGCGCGGCAAAAACTACCTTTAATAACGCTCAATTGTGGACGTCGAGGTGATACGAGTGGAATTTCGTATTCTACCTCTACGTCCGACAATGAAATTCTACTGCAGGTATTAATCCGAACAACTCAGAACATTATCCATGGTAAATGTGGTAGCAGACGCAGAAAGATCCCACATCAAATATTAAGTATAATAGTACTAACCCGTAAACTAAAGACTCCCAGGTACCATAGTTAATCACCCCGCTGGTCACAGAACCTTTCGCCTCCGAACTCAGGTACGACTCCACGGAATTTACAGTACCTGAAAAACATTTTAGCTCATTTGATCATAGGTTGTGAAACCCGAAGGTTAAACTCCTAAACTAGTCAAAACTTGGCTTAAATGTGGCTGTGCTAAATAACTATGGAGATAACTATTTCTCACACAAATTTTCTATTAAAAACTTGATGACAAAGAGTGCTTAAAGAGTCATAATCGAAACTTTGACTTTTAAAAACCTACTAATATTATAAAAGCGAAAGTTTGTAAGTATTGATGGATGTTTGTTATTCTTTCACGTAAAAACTAATAACGGATTTTAACGAAACTATACAATATAAACATCATAATAACACATAGGCTACAATTTATAAAGATATTGTGTGAATTGTCCAAAATAGTAAGTAAGTAAAAATCGACGTGCGCTGCCAAAACGAGTTACACATGTAATGTATAATGGATAAATAAATCTTATAGTCAGTCCTACACTACTGTGTTATGTGTAAGCCATTATATCCAAAATAGAGAAGCATAACTACAATAAAAATTCATAATTTATTTCAAATGCACATTGATTACTAAATGAAAAAATATATTTTTATAGCTTCTGGTATGTAAAGTACCTAGATAAAATATGTCTTTCACTCTACACATTTGGACAAATATTATTTTAATCCTGCGCGAAGTATGTAATAATAATAAACAAATATACGCCCTATTTAGATTCTTAGCGCTATTCGAAAGTCTCGAGGTACGAAGTTACTACCTTCAAATTTTTTCTCCAAGAAGACAACCCCAAGATCAGTAGGAATGCTGTCAAAACCACACGCACTTATCACGTACACGCCCGCTTCACGTGCCGCATCGCCGTATTTCAACTGCATTGATTCTATGAACTGAAATTAATATAAATGCTTACAATAAAGTACTGTTATACTAGTGAAATTTTTGATACATATCATTAATTTAATCGATATACACACTTATACCCAAAAAACAATCAGAAGACGGTACGTTCAATTTTTCGAGAACGTCATAGCATAGTCTGCGGTCTACGTTAAGCAATTACGAAAATATATAGATTTTGAAGTCTTAATGCCTTCGTTGTAAAAATAATTTGAAAAATAAATCCATGTTGGGTGCTTTTAGCTTTGAAATATCTAGCAGGCTTTAGTAACCAACATATGTGATACTATGGTGAACTGAAAAGGTTAGTCGTAACGTTTACATCGAGTCCTCAAAATTATAATCAACTAGCTGTCCCGGAAAACGTAACTAACTATCTACTATAATAAAACATATGGGTTGATCGTAGAGGGGGATGTATTTTTGTAAGCTGTATCATAAAAAAATAAAATCAAAAAGTTTTGTCTCACAAATTTGTTGAAATTTAGGGACCCTTAACATTTAGGGGGATGAAGAATAGATGTTGCCCGTTTCTCTCGATGAGACTTACTTAATATGCATAAAAAATTTCATAAGAATAGGTCGAGCCGTTTCGGAGGAGTATGGGAACGAACATTGTGACACGAGAATTTTATATATTAGATTAAATATATTTAATGGTAAATACTATGTACTTTAAAAAGCAATAATTAGGCAATATCAGTGGATTATTGCCATATATTCGCACCGTCCACGCACGACCAGGAGCAACAAACACAGATGACTGTAGACCGTAACGGCCTACAGGACGTGTTAACAAAGCATATACCGTGCCTGGAACGGTTTTGCGGAAAAGTTATTAAATATCTGAAGGAGGCAAACAAAAATGAAAGAAGAAGAAGCCTTGCAAGCAATTGCGCCCCGGCTCGCCTATGTAGCCGGGGCGTATCTGTTGAGACGCGTACCTGAATGAGTAGTTAATTTATGTAATAATAATTTTCAATAATAATGTTAGAGATAGAAAAAAGTCCTTGGACACAATAGCAGGGAGGTAGAGAGTATTATTATTTAAAAAAAACTAACATAAGATAGACAAAGTACAAAATACATATATATATATCTTTTAAGATCATCACTTCCCAGACGTTTAATATCACAGCCATGGCCAAGCATAAGTTTGGTATAATTCGATTAACAAATGGAACTACTTATTAACAAATGTGTTGTAAAATACCACAACCAGAAGCGATAAAAATATAAAGTCTAGATTGTTCTTTCTCGTGTCTACAAACACGACCTTGAACATATTAAAGCATGACTCATGTATTACACAAATTATTAAGTCATTGATATCACTGCGTTGGCGAGGTAATTATCAATTTAATTTTAACGTTTACAAAATATTTTAAAGGAAACTTGTTTGTTTTTTACCAATAGATATACTGTAAATAACTCCGAATAAACGAAATAGGATACAATATTTTTATTCCAAGCAATATAAGGGTAGTGATTAAGAAGCGACAAGGTACGCCACGTTTTTCGTGCAAGTCACTTTTCTTCGGCTTATTTTTAGAAGTTGTTTAGTCCTTTTTAGTTTCCGTAGAGGCAAACTAAAACTCTAAGGAGATGAGCGAGACACTATGGCTGCAGCACAATTTTTACGACAAAATTTATTAGAAGATATTTATTTATTTCCTAGACGTTTGTCCAGTAAAGTAAATATTTTAATAAAACCGCGTTTAAAGCTGTTTAAAATGTTTATTTAAAAACGTCTCACGTAACTCATCGACTACATAAATTATCATTACAAATCTTTATATCTATATATGTATATATAAAAGAAAAATGGTCTTCGTTTGAGGCTCCTTCACGCCTAAACCACTGATCGTATCGACATGAAACTACCACCATTCGATGCGAAAGGTGGTAGTTTCTTTTTTTCCTAGGTGGTTTATGGCTATTTATTTATTAAATTCCAACGTTCCTTCATTTTATTGCTGTTTTACTTTTATGAAAATTTATCCATACGGACTTCACCGCGGAAACATTCGGGGAGGCTTCCTAGAACCTCTAAACGTCAACATCTGTTAAAAACTCGATTTTCGAAATATTTCAATTTTCTTAGCGGGAAGTTAAAAAGAAGAATAATAAAAATATGAAAAAAAAATAAAATAATGAAACATAAAATTTATTTTAATTCGTCCCGCAAAGCGGGCGCGAAACGGCTAGTGTATGTATATATAAATTTTCTTTTCGCGTAATTAAACCCTTTTTTTTATTCGACATCTGTACAATGGCTGTCGGGTCCGCTAGTGTTATATAAATTATCGTGCCAACTTTGTATATAAATGACGAATGTACTAAGAGCGTAGAGAACTGAATAGACCTATAAATAATAAATCGTAAATTGTGATTCTAGATTTTTCTACAGAAACCAAACAATTTAATAAATTCCACACGCTCTCATTACAGCTCGCGTGTATTTCGTTTTAAAGTGCATTCTGCGATAGCTGAGCACGCACGCGCCGCCAATAAAGTCAAATGATGCATTTATTACACTGTATTTACTATTACTAAAATCTTATTCAAAATAACATATATTACATATAAACAAAATTCGATAACGAAAAGATCACCTGAATGCATAACAATAAAGTAGCCACTGGATAGGATTAAAACAATAATTTTAAAAAAGGCTGAACTGAATTGATATAGAAGTATAAGATTTACAACAATTCACTCAGTACACGTATATTGAATACCATACGAGTGCCCCTGGCTCAAGTAAAGTGTATTGACATTTAGTATATAATTTTAGTTTCTATATGATTCAAATTAAAAAAAATCTTTATATTATTACTCCATACATTACTATAATCATAGGAATGATATTAAATCTTAATCATATATACATTATCTATCGATACGAATTGTATAAAAATGTATTGCGCGGTTCGGTATCAGGCGTTTAAATAATATAGATTATATATTGTTATAACCTTGAACTGTAACCGTTCGTGATGACCTACAAGGTCACCTGCGGTGTCAGGGACGTGAATAGTGAATATAGTTAATGACATACGTGATACGACTACACTATATAATTATAATAGTATAACAGCATTGATAGGCATATTTGTCCTTTTTTAATGTAGGTACATAGGTCGTGAAGTTACGTTCGTATTATATTAGGTATTTACGCCTCTCGATCGTGGAATGTTGAGTGGGTATAAACACCGATATTTGTTTAATGAATTATAGACATATTTTGAAAGTAATACAAATTTAATATTTACAAATTTGCTTTCTTGTGAGCGACTCTGAATCAGAATTTATATGAGATTTTTGGTAAGTGGAAAGTTTTCAAACGTAGCTTATATCTATAGACGGGGCTAAACATTTAAATATTAGGCCCAGGTCGATGAAAGATCAAATAGGAAAAGAACGTACATTGTGTATTGGCTTGTACTTGATGCCTTAGAACTTAGTTGCATTAGTAATATACAGGAAATTTTATTCATCATCTACTACTACTACATACTCATCTGATTTTAAGTTACCGCCATGCATGGTCACTCTGCCAGAAGGCACTTTACCGGCCTTTTAAGAATCGATAAGGTATTTTCTCGAAGGACCCACCAAAGTCGAATTATTTAATACCTCTATGGGCAGCTGTTTCCCACAAAGCGTTGGTGCGCGGCTAAAAATGTATTGCTACATTTCGAATTCCTAACCCAATAGTTATTTTTATTCTGTACCTGTGGTTCCCCTGACACATCCACATAGTGTGACTTGCACTCGATAGCTGCCTTCACGACCGGCTCGCCATAATGCCGGTAGGGCCCGCAGCAGTTCACCAACACCTTGGCCTGACTGCACATGTCTTTAAGCGACTTCTCATCGCCTACATCAGCCACTATTATTTTCACTTCCGATAGGTCATTACCTGAAACGAAGGATTATTAAAGGTTTTTTGTCTGTAGACAAATAAACAAAAGACAATTTGGGAAATGCCAAAGTAAATATGTTTCATACAAAATGATCCGTGGAGGCGTTTCAAGGTTAGTATTGACGAACGTTTTTTAAAACTGCAACAACTCCTCTCGAAAACAGTGTGTAATACGCACACATACCCATCCACATACATTCACGCATACTTAAGATCTACTTTTTCATTAAAAATGTTGTTAATATGCACCATGTACGACCATGGATAGTTGTCTAGTTACCCACAACACAGGGGCTCCCTAGTGTTGGGACTAGCTAGGACTTCTTTATTTACTAAAGAGAAACGTGTAAAAGCTTCATCTTTAGTATACACATAATAATTTAATCTCAAAATTACCTTTTGTTACCGCGTCGTAGATTGGAATTCGCTAAAGAGTTTGCAATATAATTTCCAGACTGCATTATAATTATAATTTCTTTACGTAGTTAATGAGTCTAACCTCAGATGACCCCACTTGAATAATTATCTGTCTCTCCTAGTTTATTTTGTTGTATACGTATAAATGAATTCCCAGCAAAATGAATACAAATGTTGATATGGCGACACGCGTCCTAAATTTGATGTAACGCGTTTAAGAGGTCAGTAACACATAAACGAGGAAACTACTTCATATCAAATATACCTTGTTTCCAGTCCTATAACCGTACAACATAGGTCAAGTCAAGTCAAAATCATTTATTTATTCATATAGGTAACACAATGTACACTTATGAACGTCACATATTTGTGCCCGTTTCTATTTTGTTGCTTCCAATACCATACTAATTTTATTGCAAATGTCTAAAGATGTTATGGGAGGTTGATTAAACTTTTAAAATAAGGATTTAAAAAACAAACGCAGAATATCTATCATTACGATTTACGTAGACGGTTAAAATTCATTCAATGTAACTCCATAATTCCATATATTTTTTATTAATACTTAAATAATTTAAGTATTAATAAATCCTTATCAGTGTATTTCTTATCTGACCGATAACCTCTACTAGAAAGTACTGACATTTATCAATTAAAGTGCGTTCATTAAGGAATAAACCATATATTTATGTTTTATTTATTAACACTGTGTTTATTTATTAACAACATTAATAGTACATATACAAGGAGATAACATTTAGGAGGCAATGGACGGCCTTATGGCTTACAGAAAACAGGGCCCCCCGGCCCCCCTTATGCCAAAAAAAAAAAAAAAAAATTTTTTTTTTAGGGGGGGAAGGCCGGCTTTGGGGCAAAAAAAAAAAAAGAAAAAAGGGTTTGGGGGGAGGAAGGGCGGGCCTTTTTGTTAAAAAAAAAAAAAACATTTAGGAGGCAATGGACGGCCTTATGGCTTACAGAAAACAAAGAAATAAGTGTAACTAAATAAACAAAAATAAAATTGCTAGTAACAATGTAGACTAATACAATTTTAAAACTAACAACTTTAAAAAAAATCTAAAAGCTAATCTTCATATATACCGTAAAACTTATCGCATACTCGTAGTAACTAAAATTTTGTTTTTATCTATGACTGGTAAAGACTAAAGACCATGGGCTAATTTAATAAACACAGTCAAAAATATTAACACAATTAAAACTGATACTTACTTCTAAAGACGCGTTTTATATATTTTTGGGTCCGAAATTACTTGTTGTTCCCAATGTTTTATTCTTATTAATTATCTAATATGACACTTGATATTTAATGAACAATACATTTATCAATACGTTAATAATTTCTTAGATCTACATATAATGAGATCCCAACCGGCCTCTGCATGATGTAGCAGGTAGGTTTTCCTGTATTGAGCCCCAAATACCCCACAACCTTGAGCAGACGGGGAGACGGGTAACTGCATCACAATTCGGATAAAAAAGAGTCATCTGGCATTTTGAACGAAATCAATGACGCATCATACATTTTGAATTGTACACTGCTAAAACAGGTACACGTATAGTTCTGAGACAACAACAACAACAAAGCTTTAAGCATTAAAATATTATTACGACGACGGGTTGACTGCAATGTTTCTAGATTTTTCCACTAGTTAGAGAACTTTTCAGCAGGCTGTGAATGAGTGAATTATGATTTCTGACCGTTTCAGGAGAGGGTCAATCACATATTAGAAAATCGTTATTTAAAAAAATAATACCCTAGTTTTCAGGTGGCTGAAACATTGTTTCCGGCAGCTTCAGAACAAGTGTAGTCGAGTGGTACACATTTCAGGAAACCCGTTTTCAGGCGTTTTCCAGGCCTGGTTATACCCCTTTGATGAAGGAATATTCTAGACCGAACGCGTATCATACGCGACAGAGAGAGGCGAATGCGATTTCAAGAGATAAACACCGAAGAGTAAATTTCTGTGCGTAATTTCCGGTTTTTAGTGTAAACAAATTCCTCACTGACTTATTTAGAAATAAACCCTTGAAGAAATCTACGGCGTTTTCTACCCGATCCCCTAGCTCGTAACAATATGTAAAATGTATTAACATCAGGTTGTTCGAGTATCTATGGTATCCCCGTCATTGGCAATGACAGAATTATGAAAGAATTTGAGATAATTCATGATCGTGAATCATTTTACCCACTCAACGCATTATTGTCTGGCCCACCTTAACTCCATAATTTCGCAGACGTTATTATAAAAAAGAGATTACAATAACTTATAGATTGTTTGATTGGAGTTCCAACTAAATTTCGAGCCTCGGAGACGCTATTCCAGAATCGGCACTTAAACCTGTTTTACGCTTTGTACCTACAATAATAAAAAAAATACAATCTGACCTTGAAAATGTTATGATAATTTACGTGTTTTTGTGCATTGTGCGTGATCTTAACGTATCCGACGTGAAGGTCATCTCAACGTATTAATCTTTGTAAATAAAGACAGTTCGGTCTTTGTTACCATGGTTACCATTTCGTTCGTAACCATGGCAACAAACTCCCTACTTTCAGTATTTTACATTGTATCTATATAAGCGTTTAATAAAATGTAATAAAAATCTGTAAATCGCTACCCAGCAAAATTAATGACACATTTATACGATACGAATCACACGAACACAAAAGATTATTGTATTACATTCGGGTGAACCTCGTCGGCCATTTATAATAATAATAACATTGGTTTGCGCCACAAGAATTTAACGAGAGCGGACTGCAGTCAATCATTTGAAACGTCGAGTTAAATACAATGAGTATTATTAGAATTTATATTCGTTGTAATAAATATTAACGACATAGCTCTTACCAGTTTTCTGTGACGCTTCCTTGAGCACATCTTCCAGCTTGCTCTGGGAGCGTCCAGCGACACCCCACATAAGCGGATACTGCTTTAACTGTCGACTCATCTCCATCACGGCATGTTTACCCGTGAACCCCGTCGCACCGAATATCACCAGGTCCAGGCGAGACATCTATGAAAGAACAAATTTAGATAAAACCGCTTGAACGCTAATAAATCACTGCTGGAACGTAGATCCACTTTTGAATGATGGACCTGTAGGCTATTTATGGAACGGACTCGCAAAACTGCGCAATACGCAGGATCAAGTACTGTCTGGGTAAAATGTATTGGTTGGTTAACTAATTGTTGACACGCTTTAATTTAAGACCCATGCGCATATATCCGCGCATTGTCGTGTTATTTAAACAATATGTCCATACAACTTATTTATTGAAATTATATATCCAGAGCATTTTTTTTAAATTACTTAGGTGTGATAACGTATGTCTTAAAAACAACGTTGGTTATAGCGAGTCACAATGGGCGGTTGGCGAAGTAAGTACTTACTAAATTTAGTAAGTCATTACTATGCTTACAAAATTTTCGGCCGGGACACAAAATAAGTGCTTACGCAGTAAGCATGGCTAATATAGACCATTTTGCTTATTGTTGATGTAAACAAAACGGACAATAAAATATCCAATAAAATATTTCTCATAAAATTATCCATTTGAAACTATTCACAGGTATTAAATTATATTCCTAAATTTAGTACTGTCAATTATATTATCTATGAGGTTATGTACGGATATGAATAAGGTGTTTTGTTTATGTTAATAAGCAGTAAGTTTTGCAAAAGCGCTACAGTAGTTGTAAGACTTTAATTTTTTTATGTTATGGTTATAAGTTTAGTTATTATTCGGGACCATTAAAGGAAATTACCATATGCCAGGTAATGGACTATTTTATATAAAATTTTATAAGAAATAATTCTGTCGTATTCATATTTTTGTGTAACTTTCACCGTTTATGCAACGCACGGAACGGAAACTCAAATAGGAATATTTTGTTGCGACATTTTCATTTTGATACATTGTTGGTAACGTGATATTGCTTTAACTGAACTTACTTGTCTTAGGAACTGTTTCAAATTAAATTTCCCTTTGTGTTAGACAGTCCAATTATCGAAGAACGCTTCAACGTAATAAATGTGAGACAAAACGCGCAGCACAACTAGTGAATTATAAAATCATTCCCAAAGTTTCACGTTGCAAGTCATACGTTTTTGTGTAATATTAAAAAAATACATATTATACTACATTACATGTAAGCCACATGGTTAAATAAATATCCCTTTTAATTTAAAGTTATATTCCGGCGAAACGGATTTTTAAATTCATAAATAATAGAAGAAATGCCTCCAATCGCAATTCAATTGGTACGGTATACAAACTTACCAATGAAGCATCGACACAATAATATTTACAATCGAAGTAAAATTAAAGCTTCCTCGATAAAATATTATTTTCTGACTTTAAAAAATATAATTGCAATATTTGTTACAATTCATTGGATGTGGACTGTAAATTTATTCCATTTTACAAACAGCTGACGTAACAATTAAATTGTTTTGGTACACAAGTACAGAAAATATAACACTCGAAATATTAAAAATTTTAATACCTACATACCTTTAAAATTATAACACTCCGATACTTTAATCGTGGAAATTAACTCTTATTAATTCGATTTTATATTTAATAAATTTCAATAATATTAATAATATCAAGGAAATTATATTTTGTAATGTAAAAAACTGTCGCACCGCACCGGCAGGGTGAAAAGCAGAATTATAAAGTGATGATTTGATGAACATGCGTGTGTTGCACAGACTAAATAACTATTAGAGAGTAAACATTTATGAACTGTGTCTACACTTATCGCTCATAATCGTTTTTCCCACAATAATTGTTTGTTCGAGAATCATGTTTATACAAAGATTTAGATATATAATAAGTCAATATTTATGATAAAATCTGTACGGAAAGAGAACGGTCCTGGTATTTGAGGTCGCATAAGAAATCGTGATCACATGCACTAGATCCAACTATCAAAATTTCGAATAAATAATTTGCTGGTTATTTCTAAGTATTTTTAGAAAACAATTTAAGTTAAATAAACGATGATTCTAGTCTTGACTTCCGAGCATTTCACCTTTCACACCGAGTACAATACTTGACACATGACAGTGACAGCAGAGACCGGCTTTCAATTGTCACATCTTCAAAATTTCGTTCACAATATTTTAATTCTTATAAGTTATAACCAAAAATATTGAGATAATTTAAATTACTACTTAGTAACCTGAAATCATGGAACTAAATGAAAAAATTTTGCATTATTTAGATAAATGTGATAAAGTAAACACTTTGAAACTTGCAGATGAATTTAACGAAGATCATCAGAAAATTGTTGGTGCAGTAAAAAGTATTGAGGCTTTAGAGATGATCGTTTCAGAAGCTGTAAAGTCTACGAAATGGGGATTAACGGAAGAAGGACAAATGGTCGCTGATCAGGGAAGCCACGAAGCTGTTTTATACAGAAATATTCCTGATGATGGCTCGCCACAAGTTGAAGTTATGAAGGTTACCAGTCTATTTTTTTCGACTAGTAGTAACTGTCCTAAAGCACTATTTAATTTTTCTATGTATAATTTTAAACTCAACTTAATGTTTTATTCTTCCAGAAAGTACCTAATGCAAAAGTAGGATTCAGCAAAGCTATGTCAGCTGGTTGGATTTACATCGATAAATCAGGTGGTGCACCTTTAGTTAAACGTAAAGTTGAAAATATATCCGATACTGTTCAAGAAAATTTGATTGAAATTAGAAAAGGCATAGATAATTTAACAGATAATGTTCGGAACGATTATAAAAAACGAAAACTACTCCAAGAAATCACATTAAAAAGTTTTGAACTGACTAAAGGTCCACAATTTGCCACGTCTATAAAGAAATTAGAGACAGATTTAACAAGTGAAATGCTGATGACAGGTTCATGGAAAGAGTTACAATTTAAGCCATACAATTTTGATGCACTAGGTAAGTTTTTTTAAAAGTACAGAGGGCAAACGGGCAGGCAGCTCACCTCATGTTACCTGATACCACCACTGCCTAAAGTTTTTTTAATGTTACATCTAGAGTTAGATATAAAAAAGACTAGGCAAACCTTTCTTTTTTCCAATTATAAAAATAGTGTACACAAACCATTTAAAACATAAAAATTAATAATGTTAAGTTTTATTTAAGAATACGTACAACAAATTAGTCAAACTTATTCTTTATGTCCAGGTCAACCACCCTCATGTGGTCACCTACATCCTCTCCTCAAAGTGAGGTCTGAATTCCGTGAAATCTTTCTTGAAATGGGTTTTACGGAGATGCCAACTAACCAATATGTTGAGAGCTCTTTCTGGAACTTTGATGCTCTCTTCCAACCACAGCAGCACCCTGCTAGGGATGCTCATGATACATTCTTCATATCATCACCTGCTAATAGTACAGAGTTTCCTATGGATTACTTAGAAAAAGTTAAAAAAGTGCATAGCAAAGGAGGCTATGGATCACAGGTATTGATCCCACTTGATTAAACTTATAAGATGAATCAATTAGTTTTATAGCTGAAATTGAATGAAAGCATGTGTTTTAATGTTAATTATGGATACATTACCTCTCATATTATTTTTTTATTCAAAGCAGCTAAATAATGTGTTGTTTTAATAAAGTGTAATACACCAGTATTACATAATATTATAGATACATTGTTATTTCTGTGTCATTTTCAACTATGATTTTAGAGGTGTCGATGACAAAAAGTTTAAATTTCTACACTGTTAATATGTGCATTTTTATGTTGAGTATGCCCATTAACAAAATACATGTTTTAACATTTCTAACAAAATATATCAAATGATATAATTATCTCTTTAGCATTCATTTACCATTGACAATTTGAATTATTTAGTCGTCAATTGGTGATCTTCTAAAATTAGCCCCCCGACCCAGGAACTGACAGCTAAATCGCAAACACTCTTTATGTCAGTGATACCACTGTTATAAAAATACTTCTAACAAGGTATTGTAACACAGTAATGTATTATATGAGAGTTGTAGGGCTACATATATGATTGGAAGATAGAGGAGGCTCAAAAGAATTTGCTCCGCACTCACACAACAGCAGTCAGTGCACGTATGCTGTACAAACTTGCTCAGCAGGCTAAGTTCGAACCACAGAAATACTTCAGTATAGATAAGGTATTATTTTTATTGTTGATATGAACTTATTGTCATTCAATAAATAGATTTCTCCTTATCTATAAATTGGATGATAACAAGTAATAAAAATATGGAAATAAAACAAGTTTTAGTTTTTATATATATTTTAATTGCTAAAAGACATCTGATTAGTTCTATTGCTTAAAGCCTGTATAACCAGTGTGATTAGTGATTACTGATTAGTGCAGGGTGATTAGTTGGCTGCATAGTAAAGTGATTAGAAGCTTGTTCTATTTTTTTGCGAGTGAACTGCGAGTAGTGACATCGCGTGCACCCCCCCTTCCCCCTCACTCGCAGCGTACCTGCCAAACAGCTATTGACGACTGAATTTACTAAACAGAGCCACTAAACAAGAATTGGATACTACTTGCACTACACACCTGCACTAATCATCCTCAATTACTAATCACTTGCACTCGCACTAATCAGGTGAATCAGGCAGCCTCTAATCAAAGTGAATACAGGCCTTTTAGTACGTAGTATAGCAGAACTATCATACAAATTACTGCCATTATACTAATTAATGATTAGATATTGTGAAATTCTTGAAAAATAATTATATTCTTTATAAAAAATGCTTTGAATGAATTCCTTATTAGTGTGGTTTTTGAATTTTATTAAATCTCATGTATTTTTTTAAATTAAAATATGGTTAATATGTTCCAGGTCTTCCGTAATGAAACCCTGGATGCTACCCATCTAGCAGAATTCCACCAGGTGGAAGGCGTGGTAGCAGCAAGAGGCCTTGGCTTGGCAGATCTCATTAGCGAATTAGATGCTTTCTTCTCGCGTCTAGGCTTCCACCAGCTACAGTTCAAACCAGCATACAACCCATATACAGAACCTAGTATGGAGA